TGACGACGTTCTGCGCTCCCCAGCAGGCAGTCAGAGGCCCAGCGTCTCTGATGACACCGGTGAGTGGGATCCATGATAGATAGTGTGGGTGATGGGCATGGGGTAGGGCTGTCCCTGGTGTCCAGAGAGAGTAAAGTGGCCAGCAACTACTGGGCATGGAGGTCAACACTAGAAGTCGCTTCTCAGCCTCAGATATATATCCACAGAGCCCATGATTTGGCACTGGGGACATGGAGAGGACACAGCTATTGTGGCCCACTGCAATCATGTGCACTACCATGTGTGAGAATACACGGATGTCTGCTGGGGGCAGATGCACACAGGCCTGGGCACGTACATGTGGATTATGCACTGGAAATACTGCTTTGTGATCCGAAGGTTAACCTGCTGCGCAGTGGAGTTAGGACTCCTCCCAGAGGCAGGCCTAAGTGAGAGGGAGCAGGCACAGACCAGGAGCCCTGTGCAGCCACTTCACAGGGGTGGGGCCAGCTGATGAGGCAGAGATGCCCCAGCAGGCTCCGTTCTCCTGCTTGACTCCTGGCACAGTATATTGCAAAAAAAAGCCCTTAGCAGGGACTCCTGGGTGCAGCTTTAGCTTTGGCTCCACTGTGGGACACACACCTGCTCTGTGCCTGTTGTCTGATCTGTAAAATGGAATGTCAATCATACAATGCCAGGATGGGATCTTCTAGGGAGTATGGTTTTGAGGGTCTACTATTAGTGTCCTGGGGCTTCTGGAACTGTCCCTGGGAGGCTGGCAGGGGAAAGACTACTCTTCTTTGCACAGTCCGGAAACTGAAGCTCAGGGCATTTAAGCAACAAGGGAAACCTCACAGCGGGTGACAGGGCCCAGGCTCCATCCACAAGGTCTGTGGCTGGTACCGGGTCTTTCTTCCCGAGCTGTGGCCAAAACTACACAACCCTATTCGGAATCAGGACAAGGGTTTCTCCTGTCGCCGGGCTTTCCCATCGCTGCAGCACGGGGACACCCAATCTTGACGCCAGGCTCTGCCGCTGGCCTGGCTCGGTCCTCCTTGGCGCCACCAACCCCGGCGCCCCCGGCGGTGCCAACGCGGCCCTTCGTTGTTCCCAAGGCGGCGCCTGGAAGTTCGAGCCCCTGCTGGGGGAGGAGCTGGACCTGCGGCACGTCACGTGGCGGCTGCCCCCGGAGCTCATCCCGCGCCTGTCGGCCAGCAGCGGGCGCTCTTCTGACGACGGCGGCGCGGGGAGCGCGGCCGGGGAGGGCAGCAGCCGGGCCCGCAGCGCGACGCCCCGGCCCCCCGGAGGTGACCACCTTCCTGGGCTGCACACGGCCTGTGCCGGCTCGTTTGCGCACRCCGGCTGGGACCTAGGGCCGCCACTTGCTGCCCCAGGGCCCCAGCTTCGGCCAGGCTGCTCATCAAGATGCCAGGCCAGGCCAGGCCAGGGGCCTGCAACTGTGTGCACACAACACCGGGTAGCCAAGGGATGCCGAGGGCAGGCATTTGAGCGCCCCCGGAGGCAGGACAGGAAGTGATTCTCATGAAGCCTACCCCAACTGGGATAGCCAGCTTCAGAAACTTGTGTCAGGGGAAGACCCTCAGGGACCTCCAGGATTTGAGGACAGGCTTTGGGCTCTCCTGGAAGGCCAGGCAGGTCCCAAGCTGGGTTGGCTGTGCTCTGATAATCCATAGCACAGAGCTAGAGGACATGTGGCCTTCTGAACTCCTCTGGGGACATAGGGGCCCTAACATGGTAGTTTGGGGGAGATTGGTGGTATTTTATTCCCAGGCTCCCCAGAGGGAAGGGAACCCCAGGAATCCTCAGGGCCTCCAGGTCTGGTGCAGGTCTGACTGACCAACCCTCTCTCCTCCTGCAGAGCACCTGGTGAATGGTCGAATGGACTTTGCCTTCCCAGGCAGTGCCAACTCCCTACACAGGATGACAGCGGCCAATGCCACCTATGGCACCCACCTGAGCCCACATCTGCCCCACCGTGTGCTGAGCACCTCCTCCACCCTCACTCGGGACTACCACTCGCTGACCCGCACACAGCACTCACAGTCGTCCACACTGCCCAGAGACTACTCCACCCTCACCTCCCTCTCCTCCCAGGGTGAGCAACCTCAACCAATCCTGCCTTGCCTGTTCATCACTCCATTCCAGCTCCTGGAGGATTGGGCCGCTGGCCCCCACTGCCCACCCTCCACATCCTGTCCCTCTCACTCCTTGTTTTGTCCTGCCCTAGGCCTCCCTCCCATCTGGGAAGACGGGAGGAGCAGGCTTCCGCTGTCCTGGGCCCTGGGGTCCTGGAGTCGGGCTCAGATGAAGGGGCTCCCCCCCTCCAGGGGCTCACGAGATTCTATAATCCTGGCTGGGCAGCCAGCAGCACCCTTCTGGGGCCCAGGTAGTTCTGGGGTGGCCATCCTGTCTCTGTGGCTGACCTGCTCCATCTGCCATCCATCACAGCCGCTGCCTGTGCCCATCCACCACCTTGGCCTCATTCCATTCACAGGCCCCTGCCCTCCCAGAGGAGCTAACCCCTGCCCCATACTCATCAGTGCTGATGCCTAACATGGCCTCTGTCCTGCCAGGGTGTGGGCTGGGGTGGGTCAAGGAGAGGGGGCCCTGCCAGCTAAGCAGGGAGCAAGGTGGGAGGTGGCAGACTCAGAGGGCTGACCCTCTTTTATCATAGGCAGGGTCTGTAACTAATCCAAGGACCCGTGGAAGGTTCTGGGTACAAGCTGCCTGGCTACCTGAGGGGGTAGAATTGTGACAGCAGGAAGATCCCAGCTCCAACCCCTGACTGTGATGTCCTGTCTCCAGATTCTCGAGGTGCCATGGGTGTGCCTGACACACCCACCCGCCTTGTGTTCTCCGCCCTGGGACCCACATCTCTGAAAGTGAGCTGGCAGGAGCCTCAGTGTGAGCGCCTGCTGCTGGGCTACAGTGTGGAGTACCAGCTGCTGAATGGCGGTGAGGCGGGGCTACTGCTGCCTGCAGGGGTGGGGACCTTCCTGGCCTGGGCCCATGCTGAGCACCCCAGTGGGGTCAGGAACCTACCCAAGGCTTTGTGCATAAGCCTACCTCCAGTCTTCTTGAGGGTCTCACTCCATTCCCCTTCGTTCCCTCACCCGAGGTCTCATCCATCTCCCTGCGCCTCTCTGCCTATTTCCTCTGCTAGGTTTCCCCTAACAAGGCCTCACGGACCAAGGCCTTCCCTGGTCTGTGTGACCTCTGTGGGAACTAGGCAGTGGCACGACCTAGATCCCTGACAAGGGTGTAGGATGCGTGGGACTGCAGGCTCCACTCATCTCTTGTATAGTGCACAACCTTAACAACCAATCTTATCACACTGTACCCCCCCACAGGCAGCCCTGGGTCAATGCTGACCAGATGTTGATGGCAGCCTAGGGAATTGGGGATCAGGACAGGGTTGGGGTAAAGCTGCTCTGCTGTCTGCCCTCACCCAACCTCCAGGTGAGCTACACAGGCTCAACATCCCCAACCCTGGCCAAACTTCTGTGGTGGTGGAAGACCTCCTGCCCAACCACTCCTATGTGTTCCGTGTGCGGGCCCAGAGCCAGGAGGGCTGGGGCCGAGAGCGTGAGGGTGTCATCACCATTGAATCACAGGTGCACCCGCAGAGCCCACTCTGCCCCCTGCCAGGTGAGTGGTCCCCCACAGCTGCCACCATGCCCACCATACTCCCACACACTGACATTCTCTCTGCTGCCTCCAGGATCTGCCTTCACTCTGAGCACCCCCAGTGCCCCAGGCCCATTGGTGTTCACTGCCCTGAGCCCCGATTCACTGCAGCTGAGCTGGGAGCGGCCACGGAGGCCCAATGGAGACATCCTCGGCTATCTGGTGACCTGTGAGATGGCCCAAGGAGGAGGTACTGCCCACCCTGAGGCTAGGGGTGGCTGTGGAGTAGTGGAGAAAGGACCACAGGAACTGAAGACATCCTCCCATGCAGGGCCAGCCACTACATTCCGGGTGGATGGAGACAACCCTGAGAGCCGGCTGACCGTGCCTGGCCTCAGTGAGAACGTGCCCTACAAGTTCAAGGTGCAGGCCAGGACTACGGAGGGCTTCGGGCCAGAGCGTGAAGGCATCATCACCATTGAGTCCCAGGATGGAGGTGGGGCATCTCTTCTTTACCCCAACTCTTCTCTGGTCACGCCTTCTCCTGCCATCCCCTAACAGGCCAATCTCCCCTCTCCAGGTCCCTTCCCACAGCTGGGCACCCATTCMGGGCTCTTCCAGCACCCACTGCAAGGCGAGTACAGCAGCATCACCACCACCCACACCAGCACCACTGAGCCCTTCCTAATGGGTGAGTTACCACCAGGAGGCAGGGATCCTGGCCCCCAGGAGCGTAGCCAACATGCAAGGGCAGGGACCACGCAGCATCCTTCAAACTTCTTCTCCCACAGATGGACTGACCCTGGGGTCCCAGCACCTAGAGACAAGTGGCTCTCTCACCCGGCACGTGACCCAGGAATTTGTGAGCCGGACACTGACTACCAGTGGAACCCTCAACGCCCAGGTGGACCAACAGTTTTTCCAAACATGACCCACCAACCTCACCAGTGTTCTGGAACCTGGGCCCCCTCCCTGCCTCCTCTCCCCAGCACTCCCTCAGCTACTCCATCCTTGGACCCCACCCTGGGGCCCTGCCCCACCTTCATGCTGACCACAGAGCCAGCACCTCTTGCCATAGAGCAGGGGCCAGGTATCCTGTAGGAAGCATGAAGCCGGCAGAGGTCTCAGAAGGCCCTTTGGCTGTCCCTGCCCCACGCTGGCCCAAACTTATTTGTAACCAAAGAGCTGAGACCAGGACAAGGACCCAGCCTTTGTTCTGCACTAAATAAAAAATTTTGCTACTGCTTGACTCTGTCCTATCTGTTCCTCAGGAGCCCCCAAAGTGCCAGCTGGACAGAGCAGTGATTCTGACAACCTCCCCTTCTCTGACCCCTAAGCACATACCCACCTCTAGAAGCAGGAGGGTACCACAGTCAGAGGCATGTTTATTAAGCACCCAAATGAGGAAGGTGGGGCCAGACACAGAGCTGCATGACCTGCCACCTCAGCCCATGCTTGCATTTGCTGTCCAGGTGCCTCAAAGGCACAACACCTTGGCTCCATCAGCAGCCTGGGAGAGGTAGAAGGTGGCAGTACCACTGTACTGCTCCTGGGGGAGAGATGAGCAGTCTGAGCGATGGGGGAACCCTGGGAATCCACCTCTCCTGACCTCCAAGGCTCTGGTGCTTACCAACCTGTATGTGCTGCATGGTGCGGGAAGCAGCAGAGGCCTCCAGCAGTGTCACTGTGCAGCCACCAAAGCCACCACCTGTCATGCGACTGCCATAAACTCCAGGCACAGACAGTGCAGCCTCAACCAGTTGGTCCAGCTCAGAGCAGCTCACCTCATAGTCATCCCTGCAGATGATATAGAAGAGGTCAGCCTGGGCCCCACCTGTGCCCAAGAGGTGCAGGCTGCCCTAGGGCCTCACCTGAGTGAGTAGTGACTCTCCACCATGAGGCGGCCAAAGGCTCTGTAGTCCCCGCGGCTCAAGGCAGCTGCTGCCTGGGCTGTGCGCTGGATCTCACCCACCACGTGCCGTGCCCGGCGGAAGCCCTCCTTGCTCACCAGCTCTCTGCCAGCTAGGGAGGAACAGCAGTCAGCAGTCCCACCTCCCACTCCTAAGGGCCCCAGGGTTGTCAAAGAGGGCCCTGCTAGGCAGGACAAGGCTGATTACCCCAGGCCTGGCTCTGAAGAGCTCCCTCATCTCAGAGCCTCCCCTCCTCACTGAAAAATGGGACAATTGTATCATTTTGTCACTCAAGGAGCAGGGAGGACTGCAGGAGACTGCACAGGGATTCCTGCAGGGAGCTGGCATGGTAGGTACTCAATAACCAGCTGTTTAAGCACCAAACTCCCACCTGGACTCTTGGGGCTTTAAAGGTGAGTAGAGGGGCTGGGGATGCGGCTCAAGTGGTAGCGTGCTCGCCTGGCTTGTGTGCAGCCCGGGTTCAATCCTCAGCACCACATACAAACAAAGATGTTATATCTGCCGAAAAACTAAAAAATAAATATTAAAAAAAAAAAATACTCTCTCTCTAAAAAAAAAAAAAAAAAGGTGAGTGGAACACAGTGCAACCTTCAAGAGGACACAAAAGCTGGACAGAGTGACACACGCCTATAATCCCAAAGGGCTTGGGAGGCTGAGGCAGGAGGATTGGGAGTTCAAAGCCAGCTTCAGTAATRAGGCCCTAAACAACTTAGCAAGAACCTGTCTCTAAATAAAAAATTATTTTTTTTGGTATCAAAGATTGAACTCAGGGGCACTCAACTGAGCCACATCTCCAGCCCCATTTTGTATTTTATTTAGAGACAGGGTCTCACTGAGTTGCTTAGCACCTCACCATTGCTGAGGTTGGCATTGAACTCATGATCCTCCTGCCACAGCCTCCTAAGCTGCTGGGATTATAATCTTTTTTAAAAAGATGGAGATGTGGCTCAGTGGTAAAGCACCCTGTGTTCAATCTTTACCCCCCACTTTCTCCCGCCAAAAAAAAAAAAAAAAAGAGGATGCAAAAAAGCAATCTTAAGATTTCAAGGAGGGCTGGGAGTGTTAACTCAGTGGTAGAGCACCTGCCTGGCACATGTGGGGCCCTGGTTTTCAGCCAGCACATGCCTATAATCCCAAAGACTTGGGAGGCTAAAGCAGGAGGATCAAAAGTTCAAGGCCATGGGGCTGGGGATGTGGCTCAAGCCATAGCGCGCATGGCTCGCATGCGTGCGGCCCAGGTTTGATTCTCAGCACCACATACAAAGATGTTGTGTCCGCCAATAACTAAAAGAAATAAATATTTAAAAAGTTTCTCTCTCTCTCTCTCTCCTCTCTCTTTAAAAAAAAGATGTTGTGTCCGCCGAAAACTAAAAAATAAATATTAAAAAATTAAAAAAAAAAAAAAAAGTTCAAGGCCAATCTCAGCAACTTAGTAAGACCCTGTCTCAAAGGAAAATTTTTTTAAAAGGGTTGAGGATATAGCTCAGTGGCAGAGCACCCCTGGGTTCAATCCCTAGCACTGAAGGGATAAAAAGAAAAATGATTTTAAGCATCCGTGATGAGGCTGGAGCCCTAGACTTGCAGTGCTTTGGGGGAAGAGGGCAGAGCATGACAAATGGCCCTGAAAATCAGCAGAGTAAAGRCCATAAGAGAGCAGCAGGGAGCCCAGCCATATTTAGAAAAGACTGATGTTCTCACCCTCCAGCTCCTCCAGCCGCACCTCCCGAAGGCTCTCCTTGCCCAGTGCCCTGGCCACTTCTTCACACTGGCGTCGTCTCAAGGGGTACTCGCTGGAACCCAGGGAATGGCGGACGTTGGAATTAGTGATGAGCACGGCCAGCTTGGGGTCTGACAGTGGCACCAGGCTTGTCTCCAGGGACCTAGTGAGGAGGTGGATTAGGGAAGATGACAAGGCCAAGGATCTGCTTGCCAGGCCAGGCAGTAGGCATGCTCCACCTAGGAACTCCTGATTATGAGGTGGGAGGGTACAAGGGGAGCCCCTGACCTGCAGTCAATGAGCAGCGCGTGGCCCTTCTGCCCCAGCAGTGCGATGAGCTGATCCATGATGCCACAGGGCACCCCTGCAAAGCTGTGCTCGGCCCGCTGACACACCTGGGCCCGGGCAGCTATTGCCCCCGAGTCTGTGGCATAGGGTGAAGTAGGGAAGCCGGGGCCCAGGAGGAACACAAGAAGTGGCCACATAGGAGCAGCAGTAGCTCCAATGACACTCTGTGGAGACTCCCCACTCCCCCTCCCTAAACCACAACATGGGAAGAGTTCTGACCAGAGACTCGGGCAAGGAGGGCTGGGCTGGGGCTAGGGCCTATGTGGTACCTGGGCAGAGTTGCTGGAGGAAGGTGTACGTGGCCACTTCCAAGGATGCGGAGCTGGACAGCCCACCCCCCAGGGGCACTGAGCTGACCACCACTGCACTGAAGCCAGGGATGGGGGAAGCTGCAGTAGAAAGAATGGTGATGTTAAGATGGACTGCTAGAAGGATAGACACAGGAAGAGCATGTGTCCTTATAGGAAGGAAGGAAGCCTGGTAGCCACTTCTAGGACATGTCTCTCAACTGTTAGGCCACCAACCTGCTGGTGCCAAAGAGCCTACTACCCTCCATCTTCTGGCCATCTGAGGTTACTGGAACAATCTTTCTAGTTATCCTCTTGATTTAGGACTAGCAAATTGGGGTTTGATTCCTGGCTCCTCTAATCATGTAAAAGGAAACCCAGGGCAAGTTCTGGAACTTCTGAGGGCATCAGTTTTCTCATTGGTACGGTAGGGTATTCCTCCTTGCAAGCTTTCCCCAGTGTATTAGGTTAATGGACTTGTGGCTGTAAGGTGACAATCCTACTGGCAACATAAATTTGACCTACAATCCTAGTGGCAGCATGAATTTGACCCATGCCTGGGTCCCATACCTGGGTAGTGCTGAATCACTCCCTTGACATAATTGGCCCATCGGGGAGTCCCAGGCTCCAGTGATCGGTGGACTGTGGGCAGTGGAAACTGYAGCCGCTGGGGCTCATCAGCATCTTTAGAGGTGGTAAGGAGAGAGACAAGCCCATCTGTTCGGGGGCTGCCTACCAGCAGGGTCACCAGCTCCAATGCCTGAAAGAAGAGATAGGAGTATGTGGAGCTTATACCAGCAAATGGAATAAGCCCCTCCAGAGACACCCTCCAACTACACGGACTCCAGCCAAGGTTCTGCCCCCTGGGACACACAGGGAGGTGGAGGGAACCAGCTCAACTTGAAGGGAATGAGGTGTGGCTCAAGGAGGAGCCTGAGTGCAGAGCTGGCCTTAGGGGCTTGGAGCTCTGGCCCCTGGGTATTCAGAGGTGGAGCCAGCAGCAGCAGGAATGCAAACCTGGACTCTGCCCTGAGCAAGGGCTCCCAGCTGCAGGGAAAGAGGGAGAGAGAGAGCTAGCTCAAAAGGAAAACAGGATCAAAGGGGCTCCACGCCTTCCCATTTGGGGATGACCTCCAGAAGGATGCGGATGGATTTGCTATAACTACTCACTTCCCAAGCTGCAGGGTGGGACTGAGAGCCCAGGTTAAGAGCTGGAAGGTAACACTCAAGGTCACATACCAAGAACCAGCTGTGAGACCCTGAGCAGATCCCCAACCCTTTCTGGGTTGGCTTCCTCCCTCTGTAACCGGAATGGGCTGGGCCAGAGGCTGAGGGGCTCCATTTGCCCAGGCCTGTGGTTTTGGCCTCACCGAGGCCAGAAGCCGGAAGTGTTCCCCTTCTACCTGCTACTTAGGGCCCAAATTTGAAGGGGAACACGCCCCCCGGCTGAGGTCCAGGACTAGCAATCCCCAGAAGGCGGTCTTGGGTGAAGAGGTGCCCGCATACCCTCTCCTGTCTGCGTCCGTCTCTCTTCGCACGTGAAAAACTGTCTGTCCCAGGGTCTCCCGCGTGCGCGACTCCCACTCCGCTGCCCGCCCCACATTCCAGCGGGAGAGCGCGCGTCCCTGAGCCCCAGCCGCCCGCCCTTCTCCGCGGCGGGGCAGCGGGCCCGGGGCTCCCCCTGCGCAGCCCCTCACCATAGGCAACACCAGGCCCTGGTTGTAGTCCGTGTGTTCCCCGATGAGGTTGACGCGGCCCGGCGCCGACACGGCCAGCTCGGGCTCGGCCCCGAACTCCTCGCGGAAGGCTCGCCGGGCCTCGGCCAGCAGCTCCTGGACCTGGGGCGGTCTCGAAGCAGCCATGACGCTGGTCTGCAGTTCGGCGCGCCGCAGCGCGGGATGCTGGGGGTGGGGCCTCGCATTCCTGCCCGACGCCCCGCCCCCGGGTCGCTCGGCCCCGCCCCCGCCCGCGGAGTGCGACCGAATCCACCTGCTGCGCTGTGCTCCCAGCCCTGGCGGGCGCAGGTGACAAACACCAGAAAAGCGTGAATCCGAGTGGGATTCTATGTCCCCGATGATGTCCTTCTCTCTGGACTTTAGGGAAAACCATTGACGACCATGTGAATGAATATGGCCTTGAGTGGCACTTTGCACAACTGAAAGATCTGAACAGCCCTTCCCTACCCTGGCGACTGTTGATGGGTCACCATCTAACCTCCACCAACACACAGCCAGAGCAGTGGAGATGGCAAACCTGGATTCCCAAAGGCATCTCCGAGGGCTTCAGGGGCAGGAGCTATGAGAAGTCATGGGTTTCTAATAGTGGCACACAGTGTAGAGAGAGACAATCAGGCAAGTTTGGTAGGAAGTCGTTTTTTTACAAGCTCCTTTTCTAGGGTGGACCCATTCAAGTCCCTAGCAATGGAGGACTGAAGGAGGATAGCCATGGCCCAGCCCCTCCTTGAAGTACCAACCAACTGCTGCTGCTAAGGTAGGTCGTACTGTGGGCCCCAGGAGATGCTTCCTCACCCCGAAGCCTTGGTCTCAAACGCATGGTCCCAACCTTTGCCGGGATGCCTGTTCACACCTGCCTGCCCTGTATGTGCATATGGTGTGTGGATGGGGCACTGTGGCCAGGGATATAGCTTGGGGCCTGCTGAGTGGTTTGCTCAGAGAACTGCATTCAAAAGGCTGCTCGAGGGCTAGGGTTGTGTCTCAGCAGTAGAGTGCTGGTTTCGATGCTCAGCACCACATAAAAATAAATAAAATAAAGGTATTGTGTCCAATTACAACTTAAAAAATTATAAAAGAAAAAAGGCAGATCGAGGGCTGAGGATATAGCTCAGTTGGTAGAGTGCTTGCCTCTCATGCACAAGGAGGTGGGTTAGTTCCCCAGCACCACCAAAAAGGCACACCTGTAATCCCAGGAGAAATGGAGCTCTTAAAAGGAGCTTCTCAGGAGGCTGACGGGAAAGAGGGGCTGGCCTTGTGGCTTGTAGTAGAGTGCTTGCCTAGCATGTGTGAGGCACTGGATTCAATTCTCAGCAGCACATAAAAGTAAAATAAAGGTATTGTGTCCATCTACAACTAAAAATATTAAAAGAGAGAGAATGAGAGCAAGCACTGGATGTAGCTAAGTGGTTAAACACCCCCTGGGTTCAATCCTTGTTTTTTTTGTTTGTTTGTTTTGTTTTGTTTTTAAAAGGCAGCTCTGGCCAGCCTGGTAGTACAGGCCTGTAGTCCCATCAACTGAGGAGGCTGAAGCAGGAGGATCACAAGTTCAAAGACATACTCAGCATTTAGGAGAACCTGAACAATTTAATGAGATCTTGTCTTAAAAACAAAGGATTTGGGGCTGGGGATGTGGCTCAAGAGGTGGTGCAATCGCCTGGCATGCATGTGGCCCGGGTTCTCTCAGCACCACATACAAACAAAGATGTTGTGTCCGCCAAAAACTAAAAAATAAATATTAAAAAAAAAATTCATTCTCTCTCTCTCTCTCTTTAAAAAGAAAAAAGGGGGGTTGGGGTGTAGTTTAGGGTAAAGTGCCTCTGGGTTCAATGCCCAGTAACACCTACATCAAAAAAAAAAAAAAAAAGGAAACTCTGGCGCTGGGGGTGTAGCTCGTGGTAAAGCATGTTCTTAGCAAGTGCAAGGCCCTGAGTTTGATTCTGCATTAAAAAAAAAAAAGGCCTGGGCTGGAGCCCAGTGGTAGAGCACTTGCCCACATGCATGAGGCACTGGGTTTGATCCTCAGCACTACATATAAATAAAATAATAAAATAAAGATATTGGGTCCACATATATTAAAAAAAAAGGGGGGGGCTGGGGATGTGGCTCAAGCGGTAGCGCGCTCGCCTGGCATGCGTGCGGCCCGGGTTCGATCCTCAGCACCACATACCAACAAAGATGTTGTGTCCGCCGAGAACTGAAAAATAAATATTAAAAAAAAAATCTCTCCCTCTCCTCTTTCTTAAAAAAAAAAAAAAAAAAAAAAAAAGGCAGTTGGGAATGGAGTTCAGTGGCAGAATGCTTGCCCAGCATGCATGAGGAAAATGCCTCCCCCCACACACACCCTGTGTGACCTTTAGTTAGGCAATTTTAAAAAAAATTTTTATTTTATAAATTTTTAGATGGATATGGATACAATACCTTTATTTTATTTATTTATTTTTATGTGCTGCTGAGGATTGAACTCAAGGCCCCACACATACTAGGCAAGTGCTCTGCCACTGAGCTACAGCCCCAGCAAGCAATGGTTTTTAGATATGAAACCAAAGGTACAAGTGACTAAGAAAAATAGATAAATTGTACTTCATCAAAAATTAAATACTTTCTTCCAGGTGTGGTGGGCACATGCCTGTAATCCCAATAGCTTGGGAAGCTGTAGCAGGAGAATCTTTCCAGCCCAGGAATTCAAGGCTAGCATGGGCAACCTAATGAAGCCCCATTTTAAATATAAATAAATCAGGTCTGGTGGTACCCACCTGTAATCCTGTAATCACAGTGGCTCGGGAGGCTGAGGCAGGAGGATTGTGAGTTCAAAGATAGCCTCAGCAATTTAGCAAGACCCTATCCTTAAGTAAAAATACAAAAAAGGGTGGGGGTGCACTCAGTGTTTCAGAGACCCTGGGTTCATTCCTTGGTACCAAAAAGAAATAAAAAGGACTGAGAATGTAGTTCAGTGATACAGCACCCATGGGATCAAGCCCCCCAGTASCACAAAAATAAATAAATTGGTAAAAAATTAAATTAAAAAAACAACTAGGGGGGGCTGGAGTTGTGGCTCAGCAGTAGAGCGTTTGCCTGGCATGTGCGAGGCCCTGGGTTCGATCCTCAACACCACATAAAAATAAACAAAATAAAGGTATTGTGTATAACTAAAAAAGTAAATTAAAAAAAAAATTAAAAAAAAAAGAAAACAACTAGAGATTGAACCCAGAGACACTTTACCATTGAGCTACATACCTAGCCCTTTTTTATTTTTTATGTTGAGACAGTCTTACTAAGTTGCCCAGACAGGCCTCAGATTTACCGAGTTTCCTGCCTTAGGCTTCTGAGTTGCTGGAATTACAGGTGTGTATCACCATGCTTGGCTGAAAACAACTGACTTTAAAAAGGGGCATGGCCTGGGGCTGGGGGTGTGGCTCAGTGGTAGAGTGCTTGCCTTGCATGAGTGGGGCACTGGATTCCATCCTCAGCACCACATAAAGATAAATAAAATAAAAGGTATTGTGTCCATCTACAACTAAAAATATATATTTTTTTAAAAAGGGGGGGGGCATGGCCTGTGGGTGGAGCTTAGTGATAAAATGTGTGCTTAGTATGAGACCCTGAATTCAATCCTCAGCACCACAGAAATAAATAAAGGGTGAATTTGTATAGTATGTGTAATATATCTCAATAAAGCTGTTTTTAAAAATAGGAATAGGGGGGCTGGGTTTGTGGCTCAGTGATACAGCACTTGCCTGGCATGTGTGAGGCACTGGGTTTGATACTCAGCACCATATAAAAATAAAGATATTGTGTCCATCTACAACTTAATTTTTTAAAACTGTTACATTAAACAAAAAAAAAGAAAAAGAAATAGGAATGAGGGCCTGGAGACATAGCTTGTTAGTGGGGCACTTTCCTAGCATGCATGAGCCCCTGGGTTTAATTCCTAGCACTTAGAAAAGAAAAAAACAAAACAAAACAAAACAAAAAAAACAAATAAGGATAGCTCACTGGTGAAGCACTTACCTGGCATGCATGAGGCCCTGTGCACCATCCTCAGTAACACTCTCTCTCTCTCTCTCTCTCTCTCACACACACACACACACACACACACACACACACACTCTACTGTGTGCCACTGGCCAGAATGATAAAACATCTCAGGCTCCCACCATCTGACTGAGAAAGACACCACAAATCTGACCTCCTGTGATTGAGATAAATGCTTAGATGGAGGAGCATAGCTTTCTGAGAAGGAGAGGAAGGAGTGTCATGCTTTGAAATCCACACCTTCACTTTTACTTGGTATTGAAAACATGCCCATTGGGCTCCATCTTAATTGTATTGTTTCAGTTTTTCTTGGAGAAACTTGATTTGGCCTAAGGAGAAGGGCTCCTGCGTGTTTGAAATGGACTCTGAAACATTGATTTTTATCTTGGATATGTGTTTGCTTTCCTTTTTTTTTTTTTCTTTTTTTCTTTTTGTGGTGCTGGGGATGGAACCCAGGGCCTCAGCATGCTAGTGGGCAAGTCTTTACGATTGAGCTACATCCCACCATACTCCCTTTTTTGAATCCTATCTAGCTTGTTACAGGAAATTTGTTCAGAAGGAAGTCTGCTTTGACATCTGACTTTCCCTCCCATTTGCTAGCCAGATGTCCTAGGACTGGGGAGAGGTGGCACTATCACGAGGACATTGCACCCTAAGGTCTGTCCTCTGCTCTGTTAGCCAAAGATCTTATCAGCACAGCCAGCACTGGTGATCTTATTGGGCTATGGTAATCTGATCAAATTCCTGGTAGCGTCCACTACAAGGTGTTGGGGGTGGGGATATCATCCACACCAGCCAGGGTTCTGGTGGTCTAGGCAGGCCTAGAGGTTGCCAAGGAATGTTGTTGCCAAGGATCCCCATGGAGGACAGGCACTCTAAGGATGCCTCTTCTCTGAAAGTCATTTCTATCTCCCAAATCAAAGCCAGACTCTCACCCTGTGTGCCCTCCTCACGGGACTTGGTCTTTTTTCATTCAGGGAAGGCATATGCTTGATACAGCTGTGGTTTCTCCATTGCAAGCACAGCCTAGGTTCCCTGGTGAGACTTGGGTCCACATCTCCCAAATGAATCTCCCTGAAAATGTTTGCTTTCAGCAGATGGCCCACTATCTCACCCATTCTGGGAGGTTCTTTTTGTGGTTTCCAGAGGATTAATCCATTTCCTGATTTGGGCTCCCTTTGCCCTTCTGTGAAATTATTAATGGTGACAGTTTCTATAGCACTGATAATACTGACATTGAGCACATGTCAATTCAGACCTCAGGGCTGATATCTAGCCAAAATGCACCTTCAGGGCACTACTGGTTGTTTATCACTAATGTCTGTTTTGATTAATTGGTGCCCTGGATTTCTGTAGTCAAGTGTCTTCATAATCACCCCTAGAGCTTATGTATCTTGAGTTTTACAAGGATTGTTTTATTAAATTCTTACTAGTATATTGGATAGATATTTTTATTACTCTGATTTTATAGATGAAGAAAAGCAGCACAAATAAGTTCAGGAACTCATCCAAGAAGAACTGAGCCAGGTGTGGTGGTGCACACTTGTAATCCCAGCAACTCAGGAAGCTGAGGCAGGATGATGGCAAGTTTGAAGCCAACCTCAGCAACTTAGCAAACTTAGTGAGACTCTCCCTGTCTCAAAACAAAAAAAGGGGCTGGGAGGCTGGGGATGTGGCTCAGTGATAAAGTGCCCCTGGGTTCAAATCCCAGTACAGAAAAAAAAAAAAAAAAAAAAAAGTGGAGGAACTGAGACTTGAACTCCTGCTGCCTAACCCTAGGCCCATTCTCTCAGCCACCATCACATCCTCATGAGTACACTAGACTGCTGCAGCCTTGACTCTGTCATCCTCTGCCTGCAAAAGTGCCAGGATATAAAGCTTAAGTCTTTTCTCAGTGGGGGACAGAAGATATTAGCTGCTCTCCCAGACCATTGGAGCCCCACACTTCCTACATGGGACACTCCCCATGTGGAAGCCAGGCAAGTAACCAAAGCTCTTGGGAACCAGACTGATTCTTTGCTATCCATGCCAGAAGAAGAGCCAGCCAGCTGTGCAGTGGGGCTGCCAGGGCCATTTGGTTTGGTCAGCAAACACTCGTGAGCCTCTGCTGTGTACCAGGGTTGACTCTGGAGCAGGCAAGAACTCAGTGCCTGCTTTTGGAACCTCAACTTTGTCTTTCCAAGATTCAGATTCCCCTGCTCAGAGAACTCCAGGCCTTCTTTTTTGGTGCTCCCACCGTCCCTGAAGTTCCTACCCTGTAGGCTGATGACCAACCTGTTGATAGCCAGGAGGCAAGTCTAGACTTATGTGGCTAACAGCTCAGAGCTGCTTCTCTCTTCTGGCCCCTTGCACTGGCAGAAAGCTGCAACTGGCACTGCAGCTGCCCCAGGCCACTGGAGATGGGCAGGAGGACTGAGATTAGTTGGAGGCTAAAGAATGAAGCTGGGGCCCATGATGCCTGGGTCTTGGGCCCAAACCCATCCTGCCACCTCTACTTGATAGCTCAGTGCAAGGCAGTGAGAAGCTTAATAGAAAATCCTGCAGCCGTGTCCACCAGAGGCAGTAGAAAGGGAGTAGGGGTTAAAGGAGCCCAACTACCATCTCCATGAGGACATGCAGTCCCTCACATAGATCCCCTCAGGGGATCTTAGGGCCATCTGCCCTAAGCATGCAGCCCATTTGCTGCTCCTTCCCAGGGTCTAGTTGTAGCGTCTGAGATGAACCTGTCCCTTTCTGCCTACTTTCCATCCTATTGTATATTCCTGGAACTGCAGGATCTTAGGTAAGAGTTGGCAGTTTCTGGTGAAAAGGTCTCAGTGTGTTCCTTCCTCTGCATCCCTTTCTAGATCATATGTGGCTTTTTAGCCTCTCCAGGAGCTACCACCTCACTGAAGCCACCTCTTTTTTGCTTTCCCAGTAGGATGTAACTGCAGAACCTCTTAGCTTCTTCCAAAGGGAAGGGGAATTGGGTAAGTGTGGTAAGGGGTGTTCCTCCTAGGTGTGTCTAACCTGCAAAATTAACCCCCACTGGACTCTCAGCATGATGCTCAGGAGAGGACAATAGGCTGGTACACACACATCACATGGAAGTTCTGTGGCTCTTTGCTTGGAGTAATGGTGATGTCAGGGTGAAACTTCCAGGGACTGGTGGATAGGACCACAGAGAACAGAAACAGGAATCCTCTGGCCCCTCCTCACTGCGTAGCCCTTAGACATGCTGATAAAGGGGTAACAAAGTCATAACAGCAGCCAACTGACCCAAATTGCTGGTGAGGCACCCCAAGGTTGTGTGTGTTGTGGAATTTGAGTTGGCAACATAGATAGGGGCCTTGCTCTTGGGAAGGTAACTGGAAGGCTGTGTGCACTGAAATTGCTGGCCAAAAGCCACGCCAGGCTAGATGGAAAGGTCCAGGCTGGCAACATCCTTAAGTTGAAGGCATCTCCCTGAGGAATGCCTATGGAGAGGGGCAAGTAGGAGCACCACTGGGTGAGGGGAAGCAGCAGCTACAAGGACCGTAGGTAAGGAGCAATCATGGGCTGACACACAGGGAGTAGGCATTAATTCCTTCGGTAACTGAAATGCTTCCATCCCCCAAAAAATCTTGAGGGTAGGGGGGCAGACAACAGAATGCCAAGAGTGTGGGGACTTCAAGACTTTCATGCCCAGTGAACCATACCACTCCCAATAAGACAACAGCTGCAGAAGCGGGAGTAGAAACTCACCTATCCCCTCTGCTGGGGGTGGGGGTGAGGGGTGGGGTGGGCTAGGTTAGCCAGAGGCCTGGATCCCAACACAGGAAGGCTGGAACCATCCAGGAGAAGCTGAAGATCAGCCTCTGATGCAATGGCAGTGGCTGTTTCACCCTGTGCAGCTCTAATTCATGATGCTTCAATAAGGTCCTGCTTTCCAACTGCTCCAGGCCTGACTCCTAACACCAGGCAGAGGCAGCAGCAGCAACAGAGACCACTGTTGGGGAAATCTGAAATGAGCCAGGCTTAGGCAGTTAGGGAATAGCTCAGTGGAGCACTTACCTAGGATGCAAAGGCCACAAAACAAAACCACCTCATTCTTTCCCCCATTACCCAAGCTACTCCTGCTGTTGGATACCTAGGACCATGTTTCTAGGTAAAATATCCTTGCTTAATCGAAGACCAACTGAACATGCACGAAGTAGATATAAGGGACAATGTCTTACAACTAACAAGGGTAAGGGGGCAAACACTTTGAACTAACTCGGTTTCCAGTTCATCTGTCCTTAGATGATTCACTGGGCTCCCCGTGCACATCACCATGCTTTAAGAATGATGGCCATGTAATTTGCCAAATTGGAGTTGTCAGTAAACATAGGCACCATTTATACAACAGTTCTACAGGAATAAATTAGCAGTCCTGAGCAAAGGTCTGCCAAGTATCATTTTTCCAGTTCTGCCCCTAGTGTGCTCCCCTCCCTGACTCTCCCACTGACATCAGAAAGGCAAGGCTCTCCAGATAATTCCCTTGTGTGAAACAATTATTGAAATGAAAACCATTAACAAAATGAGAAAAAAACCTCAAAACTAAAAAAAAAAAAAAAACTTTTATTTTTGTCTCATCCATCAAGGGCACAGGTTACACCATCAGCTTCAACTTTGCTTTCCTCCTTACAGATTCTGGTCCATTACTCTTATCCAGGGACATGCTGTAAGGGCAGGTTCCTAGAATCAAAAAATGTCTTCTAGGTTGTGTCCAAGTGTGGAAGTCCACATAGAGCTGTTTCAGCAGTACCTTCTAGCCTGCCCAAGCCTTCTCCAAGAGACTTCAAAACTGATGAGAAGGCTCAATATTGTCACCCACTTGGATTATCCATCAATTCCGCAAGCTTACTCTCCCCATTCCTGTGGCTGGTTCTCTTTYAGTTGCTGCCACTTTTGGGAACATTCCAATGCCTAGTATTTGTCTTGTTCAGAAACACATAAGGAAATTCTCAGAATTAGTAAGTATGCCTGGTTCCAGATCTGGTTCAGATGGGACTTTGTCAAAAATAAAAAAACTAGTTGAAAGCTGGATAAGCAACCATACAGTATCTTACCTCTTTCAAGCACTTCAAAATCAGAAATTAATCCAAACTTTAGTAGGGCAAGAACTTCTATATAGCTACTAGCTTCATTGGAATGCTTTAAAGGGGTGGCTCTCGAGGTCAAGTCTTGCTGACATGCATGCATTATGCCTTGCAAGCAGCCCTCATTGCTCAAGACTTGTTCCATGCTACTGAAAACAGCTTTGACAATTCCACCTTATAGATTTGTTTAAAATGATTTCTAAGCCTGCTCCAAGAGATGCATGGAATAAACCCCAAATGCAAGCCCTACAACTTTAACAAGAACTTCCCTAATAAATGGAACTTAATTTTACTTTGTTAACATTATGGGGATGGGGTAAAGCTATTAATATACTTTGCTATAAAAAGCCCATGGTACAAAATATAGCAGTATTCTTTTGCACAGGTGCTGGAGATCAAAACCAAGGCCTTCCTGCATGCTAGGCACATATTCTATTACTGAGCTACATCATGGAATTTTTATAGATCTAAGGGCAGTTTTACATGCTTTCTTTGTAAATAAATGTTTCATCTACCAAGCAAGAGCTGAAATAAAGCTCAAACTTTTAAAATGTGTAGAATTTTAAGTTATGGACATATTAAGGTTCTATAACATTCAATTTAGGTTTTTGACACTTAGTTGAATAAACAAGTTTATTTGTAAATTTAGTCAACATACATAATTGACCTAAAAACCTCAATAAAGGATAAATTTAAAAACCACTTGGAAGGCCATCTCTTATATAAAAGGGATTTTCCCAGGACAGTAAATAACCAGATGTAATCTATCCCCAACACCATCGTAATTTGCAGAGGTCCAATAAACCTGGAGCTGCCTGCTCCTCCCCCACACTAAACTCCATAAGGTAAAGAACCAACCCTTGATATTATTTCCTTAGAAGAAAACCTAGATTTAAAACCAACCACAACACTATGAAAAGCTAAACTAGATAGAATATTAGTTAACAGATGATGCTGGTGTGAATAACTTGTTATTTTATTCTAGAGCCCTTATAAATAAAATCCCCCAGTTAGTGTTTGCATTATCAGCTAGAGGGTTAGTTAACATGTGGTAGAATGAGGACTTATGCAAGGTATATTACACATAGCATTTTACTACTATGAAAACAAGTGCAGTCTCTAGTTAAGAAAAAACCAACTGGACTCTAAATTATACACACCTTAATGACAAGACTCCCCACCACTTGTGAATGTAAAACATTTAATTTAAAAATGTTGACACTACAATATATAAAATAGCTATTATAAATGCACATAGTGTATTCTATAGCTGCCAGGTTTACTTTTTTTTTTCTTTCTTTTTTTTTTTTTTAGGAAACTGTAAGTTACACTGTGGTTAAGACTTGTATCTTCACCCTTGAAAAAGCCCGCATTCTATCACAGTGATGTATGGTCAGACTTAACAGCCCCAATTGTTAAACACTTGGATCAAGTCATAACCAGTTTTATTGCAAAAGGACCCTGTACACATTTATCAATTCTAGTACCTTAATAACTACCCAACAAGTCATTAACATACAGAAACATGCATCATGAGAAGCAAGAAATATCACCCATCCCTTCTGCATATTAGCAACTTGTCACTCCTGAGCAACAGTGCTCACATCACTGAGGTCTGTGAACAGTCACTTTTCGCATTCATCCTGAGTGAAAGATGGAATGACTTAAGTACAAATGCAACATATTATAAACAATTTCTTACAAAAAAAGTCACAAATTAAACCAAAGTATTTTACAGAATTTACTACAAAACGCCATTAAAAACTGCCTTCACTTAAGCTCTCTCTCCCCGTATCCGGCGAGCCAACTGGATGTCTTTGGGCATGATGGTGACTCTCTTAGCGTGGATGGCACACAGATTAGTATCTTCAAATAAACCCACCAGGTACGCTTCACTAGCCTCCTGTTGAGGACAAGAGCCACACTATTAACTTCCCTCCAGGAGAAGCCACGCAGCCCTCCCCCATACTCCAGAGCCTGTCCCCTTACCTGAAGGGCGCCAATGGCTGCACTCTGAAACCTCAAGTCGGTTTTGAAATCCTGGGCGATCTCTCTCACCAATCTCTGGAAAGGCAACTTCCGGATGAGAAGCTCGGTCGACTTCTGGTAACGACGAATCTCTCGAAGAGCCACAGTCCCGGGCCTGAAGCGAACAGGAGTGTGTAAGAGGACATGGCGGAGCCTCGGCGCGCTGCCGCCCCWCGCACAGTTGCCCACCGCCAAGTCATTGTTCCCCGGCTGCCTGCCTACCTGTAGCGATGAGGTTTCTTCACCCCGCCGGTAGAGGGGGCGCTTTTCCTGGCAGCCTTGGTGGCCAGCTGTTTGCGGGGGGCTTTCCCACCAGTGGACTTCCGCGCGGTCTGCTTGGTTCGGGCCATTTTCTCTTACCTAGGATGCAGAGTGGATTTGAGGCCGTGAGATCCTCCCGCCCAGCCCCCAGGGAGGTGGCGGCGGGCGCCGTGAGCTCCGCGCGTCCGCGAGCCCTCCCGCCTCTGCGCCCCACCTTGCGGTGGCAGATGGCCGAGGGCCGCCGCCACCGCCTCCTCCCCCTCCCCTAATGACTCAGGCTGCGAGCAGTGGTGGCCTCCCCCGGGAGGGGGGGCGCGGGGAGGAGTCACTTCCCGCCCGCGACGGGCGGAGGCCTGGCTGCCCGGAATCCGGCCTCCGGACCTCTRAATCACCACCGGGAAGGAGGTGTAAAGGCGGTTCCGGGGCGAAGCCCAAGGAGACAGGCGCCCGAGCAGCCCCCGCTGGCTGGCAGTGGGCTCTCAACGGCCGCAGCCCGTGGCATCAACGGCTGGAGGGGCCGGCAGTCACAAATAACCCTGTGAACGCTTACCCAACGCCGAAATCTTAGGCCGCTTCTCCGACCGCCGCGCCGAGCTGCTGCCCAGTGAAGACCTGCAGCTGCGGAGCAAAAGAACGATACTACTCCAACGAACGACCAAACCGCTCTGCGCTCTAAACCCCCCCGGCGCTTCTGCTTTTATATCCACGCTTCACGCTGCGTCTCTGCGTCATAGGGCCCTTATTTGCATACACCAACGGCTTTTTCTATTGGCGGGCCCTTTCGCCGACGCGCTGACATCCCCCGACACAAAGGCTGTGCTTCGGCCCCGTTCCGTGATTGGCGGATATTTAGGCCCCTGATTGGCTGTTAAAGTTGCCTCTTGATTGGATACATGAAAAGAGGAATGGACGAATCAGAGTATAGCACTAAGCGGCTCTTCTGATTGGATAAAATGGAGCTATGTTTGGATCCTTCCCTTGGTTCCAAAGCTCCACAATAGAAAGTCAATGCAAATGAACTGCATTGGTCCCTATCACGATTTAAGAAGATCCGGATGGGCAGACACTAACTTGTTTGCATCTAGCTGATGCAAGGAGGAAGTGAAGAAGTTATTTTAACAGATTTTTTGTAAATATTTTCTAATGTAAACCAAAATATGTCCCCCAGATTATTTACTTTTCAATAACATTTTGATCATTTAAATACACAGTGCTAGAATTGGAACTGTCATGCTATCAAGTACAGTATTTTATATATCACAAATAATGCTTTTTTTTTTTTTTTTTGTTATTGGGAATTGAACCCAGAGGCCCTTTACCGCTGTGGTACATCCGCAAACCCTTTTAATTTTTTGAGACAAGGGCTTACTCAGTTGCTTAGGATCTTGCCAAATTGCTGAGGCTGACCTTGAACTTATGATCCTCATGCCTCAGCTTCCAGATTCCCTGGGTTTACAGGCGTGAGCCAATAGATGCCTGACTCATGCATGTACATTTTAAACCAACAAGCAGTTCTTTTAGTTTGGTGGGACAGGGAGGGGTGATAGATACAAAGAAACAAATAGCAATAAATGATGTTAGAAGTACTGTCTTGTTTAACTTAGGCTGTCATAAAATATTTTGTGACTTAAAGGAGGAATGACCAGCTTGGCAACATATTTCCCTCCACAAAATGACTGTAGCAGGAGGGAAATAATCACGTTAGAGAATTGGCATCAATGATGAATAAATAAAAGATAGCTAAATATGGGATCTTGTGTTTAATGCTACACCTGGCAGATAGTACATCTGAGAAGAACACRACAAATGTGTAAAAACACTAATCTTTACCGTTGTCTTAACTCTTTGAAAGACCGAAATACGCAGTTCTTCAGAGGCAAATATATAAAATACCAAACCTGGCTTAAAGTTAAGACCAGCCAAGCAAAGCCCAAAAAATTGAAATAGAGCTTCAGGCATTCTACTCCATAGTTCTGACTCTGATTCATCAAATAGTTTAAATTATTAAAACAAAAATTGCTGCTGGTCAGGATGGTGGCACATACCTGTAATCCCAGCAACTCTGGAGGCTGAGACARTAGGACCTTCTAATTTCAGACCAGCTTTGGCAATTCAGAGAGTCCCTGTGTCAAGATAAAAAATAAAAAAGGCTAAGGATGTAGCTCAGTGGTAGAGCGCCTCTGAATTCAAACCTCTACCTTTTCCAAAATGCTTTGAATAGACTGAAATACTCAGTTCTTCAGAGGCAAATATATAAAATACCAAACCTGGCTTAAGGTTAAGACCAGTCAAGCAAAGCCCAAAAAAGTTGAAATAAAACTTYGGGCATTCTACTCCATAGTTCTGACTCTGATTCATCAAATAGTTTAAATTATTAAAACAAAAATTGTTGCTGGTCAGGATGGTGGCACACACCTGTAACCCCAGCAACTCTGGAGGCTGAGATAGGAGGACCTTCTAATTTCAGACCAGCCTTGGCAATTAAGAGAATCCCTGTGCCAAGAGAAAAAAAATAAAAAAGGCTAAGGATGTAGTTCAGTGGTAGAGCACCCCTGAGTTCAAACCTCCATACTAAAATAATGAAATAAATAAAAAGTTGCCAAGCATGGTGGCACAAGCCTATAATCCTCTCTACTTGGGAGGCTAATGCAGGAGGATCACAAGATCAATGTCATGCTGGGCAATTTAGCAAGATTGTCTCAAGATTAAAGGAAAAAAGCTGACATGCTTGTAATCCCAGCAGCTCAGGAGGCTGAGGTAGGAGGATCACAAGTTTGAGGCCAGCCTCAGCAATTTAGTGAGGCACTAAGCAATTTACTGAGACGCTGTCTCAAAAAGGACTAGGGATGTATCTCAACTGTCATTCAATGATAGTAAAGGGCCCTGGATTTCAGTCCCCAGTACAAAAAAAAAAAAAAAAAGTTTAAAAGAAAAAAATTGACTGAGGACCCAGCTTAGTAGTTAAGTACCCCTAGGTTTAATCCCCAATACCAAAGGGAAAGACAAAGCAGAACCAGTTGAATAGAACCAGTTGAATTATACCTAAGTACAAATATCTCTACAACAAATGTCTCCAACAGCTTAGTAGTGCAGAAACATTGTACAATTTTAAAAGCTACAACAGAAACATCTTTGGCCCAGTCTCTGCTACCAAATTCCTCTCATTTTGTCAGACCTCTGGATTGAACTCAGGGGCACTCAACCACTGAGCAACATCTCCAGCCCTATTTTGTATTTTATTTAGAGACAGGGTGTCACTAAGATGCTTAGTGCCTTGCTGTTTCTGAGGCTGRCTTTGAACTTGTGATCCTCCTGCCTCAGCTTCTAGAACTGCTGGGATTATAGGCATGCACCCTATGCCTGGATTTTCAACCCTCTTAATCCCCTCCCTCCACCTATACTGGGGATTGAATCTAGGAGCACATTACAATTGACCTATAGTTCCAGTCCTTTTTACTTTTTTGAGACAGGGTCTTGCTAAATTGCTGAGATTCTTGTTAAATTGCTGAGGCTGGCTTCAAACCTATGAACCTCTTGCTTCAATCTCCCAGGTTGCTGGAATTAGAGGCATGTGACATGGCACCCCACCCAGCTTCATCCCTCTTAAACTTAACATGTACAATATATATTTAATCATCATATACACAAACACATAATTATTTGTGTGTGTGTGTGTGTGTGTGTGTGGTTGTGTTGAAAAAAGCATTCCTATAATCTCAACAGCTAGGGACACTGAAACAGGAGGACTGAGGCCAGGGGATGTGGCTCAGTGGCCAAGTGCCCCTGAGTTCAATCCCTAGCACCCCTGTAAAATAAATAAATAAATAAACAAATAAATAAATAAATAATGGGACTTTATACATGCTAGGCAAGTGCTGGACCACCGACCTACACCTCAGCACTCCCATGTGATAATTTAGCCAACTTTAACGTCTCCTTCTGCTCAGAGTTTGGGGTAGAGGAAAATAATTAGAGTATTTCATTCATGTCATACTGAAAACTCAAGATGGAGGCTCTTACTCTGCTCAGAACGTGTGAAAAGCTAGGAAATGGAACTATTTTATACCCATGTAGGAGGCTGTCAAATGTTCTGCGATACAATCAGAAAAATAACTTGTCTTTTTTTTTTTTTAACGGCTTATTTGGCCTGGAGGAGGAATGAACCCCTAAACTGACCTCCCTCTTTACATTCTATGGTTTTTCTAAGAGATCCCAAGCCCTATCATTTCCATGCTATTAAGGAGAGGGACAGTTCAGTTATCCTCCCCACATACCATTTTGCCAATTATTAGAAACTAAAACCTGTTCTAGGAGAAACAAGGTATAGATGTACATTCATCCATCATGGTTAGTGGAAAAGTACTTATACAGGTTTTCTTTTTCATAACTTGTTTTAGAGAAAAACAAGCAATGCAGAAAATGGAGAATTAAAATGCATACATGGGCTGGGGTTGTGGCTCAAGGGGTAGAGCACTTGCCTAGCACGTGTCAGGCACTGGGTTCCATTCTCAGCACCACATAAAATAAAATAAAGGTATTGTATCCACCTAAAACTAAAAAAATAAGCATTAAAAAAGTCTATTCAGTAAAATAAAAACAATAGCAAATGGGCTGGGAGTGTGGCTCAGTGGTAGAGCCTTTGCCTATAGTCAAGGTGAGACCCTGAGTTCCAATCCCACTGCCTGGAGCAAACAAAAAACAGCAAATGTGATGCAGTGTGCAGGCTATGGTCTTAGGTCTTGTTTTGTCATTGACTTGCTGAGTAAGTTACTCAACTTCTCTGGGTTTCCTCTTCTGTAAATTAAGTAATTAGGATGACATCATCTTTTAATTCTACAAGTATTTAGACTTAATCTGAAACTCTTGGTGTATAATCTATCATTTTAAAATGCAGTGGGGTGAAGTGTATTTCTGCAGTGACAGCACACCTGGAAATTTTAGGGATAATATATAAACCAATTACAATTACTTGGATATAATCATAAGATTGAAGCAATACACAACTTGCATCATTTTGGAATTTTTCCTCCCCAAGAGACCCTAGTAGCTACACAATAGACTTGGCCAGATTCTCAATTCTGTAAACTGACAGTTTGGATTCGGATAGGAGGTTATTCAGAAATAAAGAAGTACCATKCTCTGCCTTTTTTTGTTATTTTGTGTGTGTGCACGTGTGTGGGGAGGGTGTACTGGGGACTGTACTCAGGGGCACTCGGCCACTGAGCCACATCCCCAGCCCTATTTTGTATTTTATTTAGAGATAGGGTCTTACTGACTTTCTTCACMGTTGCTGAGGCTGGCTTTGAACTCGGGATCCTCCTGTCTCAGCCTCCTGAGCTGCTAGGATTATAGACGTGCACCATTGAGCCAGGCCTGTATCATTCATTCTTTAATACTAACAATTTTCCTATTTATCATTACCCTTCTGCCCAGCCCAGTATATTGATTTTTTTTAATGAGGCAATCATTAGATGGAATAATCCCATCAAAAAATGTAAATTAGTCTAAAAATATGGATTTGAAATAGATTCAACATGTTAAACAASGTCATCACAAATGTTAGAGTATCTATGAAGAACATTTTAAACCTTACATCCAATCCCCAGGTTTGGGGAGACTGCTTTATCTTATAAAGTGAACTATTCTGCCTGACTGGTGGGAGACAGGGAAGAGAAAAATATTTTCCCAAGTAAAAAGGCTGTGGCCCAGAGAGGACGCATCCCCTACTCAAACCCAAGCCTTTCCTCTGGACTCTGATGCTTCTCAACATAAGTGCAACTGGCCAGGGTTCCCGAGACTATTCTAGACGAAGACTGAATTCCTCCTTGGCCTTTAATATAAGCTGATCAGGCCAGGTGTCAGATGAGAAAGGACATAGGTGGTGGAGTTCCAGGTTTCAGGGWTGGTAAATGTTAATGAAGCACCTTAGCAAAGGTGCGGGCGGACACAGTGTTGTATAATATTGCTCTTCCTTAGCAAATTTTCTCAAGCTGACTTCCAGCAGGCAGTCTTTTCCTGCCTCTAAGGTCAATCCCGCCGCAGGGACGAAAAAAATCGCTGGCCGACTGGACTCCAGATGATGCAGTACAAAGGCCTAGCCCTAAGAACCCACAATACAGTCTTAAGCCCTGCTTGTGGGCACTGCTCTAAGCCGGCATTAGAMCCATGCCCCAGCTGTACTAAGTATGGCAGCAAAGTAATTACTGCATCGTTGGCAGTGGAATTACACTTGGAACGGTTTCATAGAAGTCTCTTGGCCCTCTCTACTCTCGGGGCTTCAGTTTCAAGGAAGGAATCCCCAACTAAACTGAAATCGCGCTGGTGAAGAGGAGATCTGCGACCGAACTGCAACTCCCAGAAGCCATCGCGGGCCTTCAGCATCCGGGACACCGTCCGCATGGACCCCTGGGYATTGTGGTCCCTTGCTTTGGCAGCAACCCTCTGCCGACGGTAAAATTTCGGCCGAGCGGAAGACCACAACTCCCAGCAACCCTTGCTGCTGTGCGGGGGGTCTTCACGTTCTCGTGGCGCGGCGCAGGCGCACTGGGTCCTCGGCGCGGACCGCGCAGACTGAATAATAAAAGGGGAGCGGCGAAGAGGCAGGAAGACAGGACCATGTCGAAGGGCCCCGGGCCCGGCGGCTCCGCAGCTTCCTCGGCGCCCCCGGCCGCTACCGCTCAGGTGCTGCAGGCACAGCCCGAGAAACCGCAGCACTACACGTACGTAGAGCCCCCCCCGCCGCGCGCGCACGCCTGACGTCAGCGGCCAGCGTGAGTCACGCGCGCAGGGAGAGCGCGAGGCGGCCTCTCCCTCCCCCCTTCTTCCTCCGGCCCGGCCCAGACCGGTTCCAACCTGCTGGGGCCGGTCCCAACTGCCTCCAACTGCCACCAACCTCTGGTCGGGCCGTGGGGCGGGAAACTCGGTCCCAGCGGCCGAGTGGGGAAGGCGGGCGCTGGGGATGCGGAGTGCACACTTCTCTGGCCTGGCCTTCGAGGCCTGACTGTTRCTCAGACTATAAAACCACAGTCCCAGGCACCTTTCGGGGCGACTAGAAGTCCACGACACCACCCAGACGAGTTCTGTAGGGTCCGGCCCTAGAACCGCCTGTGAATGACGGTTTGCGTGAAGTCCTGTCAGGAGGCCCGGTGCAGCGTGCACTGGAGGCCTTTTGTGTCCTGAAGGCCCCTAGGTTGTCCAGGAGGAGCACCCTTGCTTGATTTTGCTTAGAACAGTTGGCTGAGAAAAACACGCAAAACCCCTAGCAGGCTGTCCTGATCCAGCCTCAGCCTGGGACCCCAAGGCTGATGGCTGCCAAATATGACCATAGAGCCCCCGCCCCCCCAAATGTGGCAATAGAGGGAGCTCCAGTTGTTGACACTGCAAGATTGGCAAGATGAAAAGCCCTGGAAATCTGCTTGTGGCTACGTGTAGGTCCCAGTATTCATTTCTTTTCAAGGGACATTAAGCACTTACTGCTAGGTGCTGTGGGAGGGAAAAAGGTGAATAAGAAGCAGTTCCTCCTGTTGCGCAAAATGTTGTTTTCCCAAGTGATGTGCGTGTCTAGAAGACCACCCCGCACCCACTGCTGGAGGAACTTGAGGGGTCAGCCAAGCCTCAAGTTGTTCRGTGAACGAAGGGCAAGGAAGCATCTGTTAGGAGCAGAGAAACCAAAAGTAGACAGGAGGAGCTCTTGCTTGTCACAGAAGAAACACCCTTTGGGAGACTGTTCTGGGATCAGTCATAGGAAGTGTATCTGTTTCTTTGTGGGATTCTCTGGTGTTGCCTRAAATCATCTAAGCCTCTTTGACTACAGTGTGACCCAAGTTTATAACTTTTCTGATAAGGCTATTGTTTTGCTGGTCTTTGTTTTATTTACTTTAGGAGGTGATGGGAATGGAATCCAGGGCCTGGCTCTGCCAGTGAGCTACATCCCCAGCCCTGTTGGTCTTTTCTTCCTGGAGTTCTTGCTCCATCCATTGCTTTTGACCACGTGAACTTACCTTGGAGAATACCTACTATTTGAATAATGTCATAATTCTTGATTTGCCAGTTTGGAAACTTAATATAATTGGAGCTTCTTTATAATCTCTGATTGCTCAGATCATGTTTTTATGTAAAGTACCAAACACATTTTGAGTAATGTAGGTCTTGGTTTCAGCAACTCGTGTTTCTATGTTGTGTTGTCATTTAATATACTATATCTTTAATATACAATGTCTTCCTGATTACTTGGTCTTAATAGATTAAATTGTTTTTGACAGCTGTATGAATGTCAATAACAGTCTTTGTTCTCTTGATTTTCATTTGTTTGAAAGCTGTCTTTCCATTCTTTGTGAGGTAGGTACAGAGTAATGGAACTCTTGTTTTTGAGGTGTCTTAGTAAATCAACAGGGGTTGATGAAACGCCAAAGCTTCTTAACTTCATTAGATGGTGAAGGTTGTAGATATTACTCTCTTTGGATTTTTTTTTTTTTTTTAATGCCAGTGTAGGGATTGAAGACTTTTTTTTTTTTTWAATATTTATTTATTTATTTTTATTTTTTGGCGGACACAACATCTTTCTTTGTATGTGGTGCTGAGGATCGAACCCGGGCCACACGCATGCCAGGCGAGCACGCTACCGCTTGAGCCACATCCCCAGCCCGGGATTGAAGACTTTGCACATGCTATGCAGGCATTCTACCACGGAGCTGTATCCCCAGCTCCTTGTGTTTGTATCTCCAAAATTAAGGGGACAAAAGTTGTTTTCCATGGTAGACTTATGGATGTTCAGTAGTTGTGATGATATGGAAAATTTTATCTTCTGTCATTCAAGTCTGAATTGACACAGGATTGCTGGCTCTGACTTTATTATTATTAAGGTGAATTCAGTTATTGTCCTTAGGGGATGCAGGGGACAGGAACATTTTTATTTCTATTTCAGTATTTTCTGTGAAATCCTGAGCTGCCCTGCATTTTTTTTTCCATTTCTCCCTTGCAGTATGAATTTCTAGCATTTGTTTCAATCTCAATATGGCTTTTATCTACTACATTGATCCAATTGTTGAACACATATAAACCTCTTATTATTTATTTATTTATTTCTAAAATTTATTTACTGTTGTCCTGGGAATTGAACCCAGGAGCATTCTACCTCTGAGTGAAATCCCCAGCCTTTTTTAAATTTTATTTTGAGACAGGTTCTCACTGTGTTGCCCAAGCTGGCCTCAAACTTAGGATCTTCCTGCCTTAGCCCAAGTAGCTGGGATTACAGATGTGCCCCACTTTGCCTGGCTATATATATWTTTTTTAATGTATCAAAATTCTGTTGCCTTTTAAAACCCTTATATATTAATTAATTTGTGATTCCCCCCCCCCATGCTGGTGATTAAACCCAGGATCTCCCACTTGCTAGACAAGTGCTCTAACACTAAGCTACAACCTCAATTTCTAATTTGGTATATTTTTTATTTCTGATATTTGAAATTATGTGACTGCTATAGTTTTATAATAATCCAGAGAAACTTGCACTAAAATTGAGTCTCATTCATCATAATGACAATTTGCCAAATAGTGAATCTACCAAAAGCAAAAATTGCTTCCCACCACGTGTAGTAGTATGGGTCTATGATTCCAGCCACTTGGGAAACTCAGGCCAGCCTCAGCAACTTAGCAAGACCCTATCTCAAAATAAAAAAGGACTGGGATTGTAACTCAGTGGTAAAGCACTCCTGGGTTCAATCCCCAGTACCTACCCACCACTCCCCTGAAAATTGCTTTTCTGTAGGCTTGTGGTTTTTGTCCTTTATTTTTGTGTCCTCAGAGTTTGACCTCTCCTTAAGTCAAGAGGATTATTCATAATATATTTAAAGGATAATTATTTGTTAGCAATTTTTCCCTGAACTTTTGAATAATATTGCATTAAGGGAAACTGAAATGATCCTTTCAGCAAATTGGTATAGTTAGTATACAATTGTTTAGATTTGAGGAATCAAGTCCTTATAGAAAATAGTTATATCAGGGGCTGGGGCTGGGGCTCAGTGATAATACACTGCCTGGCATATGTGAGGCACTGGGTTCAATTCTCAGTACTGCATATAAATAAATTTTTAAAAATTAAAGGTCTATCAACAACTAAAAAAAATTTAAAAATAAAACATCAGAATTTAATCTTTTGAACAGTTCCAAGTATTTGATTAACACTCAGGAAAAGTATAATGTATGTATATTAGTAAATATTCAGTGTAAGAACCACATGACCTTCTTTTATTAGGTAATTTGTCTTTTTATTTGACAAAGACTAAATTTAAACCAGCAAGACCATCTTGTACATTAGAAGAGTTTTATATAAAACAATTTAAAATTGAGTCTGGGCCTGCTGGCTCATGCTTGTAATCCCAGCAGCTTGGGAAACTGAGGCAGGAGGATCACAAGTTCAAAGCCACCTTAGCAATTTAGCAAGACCCTAAGCAACTTATCAAGACTGTCTCTAAATTAAAAATAAAAAGGCTGGGGATATGGCTCAGTGGTTAAGTGCCTCTGGGTTAATTTCTAATACCAAAAAAAAAAAAAAAAATATATATATATATATATATAGTTGAAAGTTCATGAAAATATTTAATTTTCTTTTGTCATTGTTTTGGCCCTATAAGAGGAAGTATGCCTCAAAGATAAATCTGTTTCGGATTCCTTCCTCTGCAGTTGATTCCGACTTCTTAATGCTCTCATTTTAAAGGGAAAGACAATTCTAGTTTAGTGAAGGTTTGTTAGTATTTTCTAGCCACTGGGTGATTTCTCATAGGAGACAGATGATAAGTGCTTCATAGCCTTTGCTATCTAGGTTTCATTTTAAGTTAGGAATAGTTTCCTGGGCATCATTAAATGAAGATAACATAGTAGTAGTTCCACAGAAAACTATTTTAAGGCAATTTTGTTAGTTTTACACATTACACATAAATGTTGTGAACTTCACTTGATTGCATCTGATTATGTTTTGGAAAATCCAGGAAATGAATGTGTATTTAAGTCATTATTGCAAATTGTAGTAAAATTGTAAATACATACTGGAGTACAACTTGTTGCACAACATAAGTCACAAAAAGTGTTACTTAGCAACCTCAGAGAGAATGAGCTAAATTACCAATAAATCTTTATGGATCTTATTGACTCGTTTATGAAATAAGACTAATTTTTTGCTGAACAAAAATTAAGGACTCACTGTAGTCTTCATTCAAGCTCACAAATTCCCTGTTAATAAGTATTAAAGTGCCCATGCTGAGAGTAGACTCTTAAGCTTAACTCCCAGTTGATATTTGCTATAATCTAAATTAATAATTAAAAGTCAAGATTTGCTTAATGGTTAAGTTTCTTTGTTTTAATCCAGCTATGTTAGATACTAAAGAAGGCTTCCCCACAACCCATATGCATCTGCTTTGACTGGTGGTTTCTATCATCCTACAAAGACTGACTTATTGGTGAGGGCAGCTGGACAACTCTGAGAGCATCTTAGAAATCCATCTTGGGCACAATCTATAAAGGAGCTCCTCTGGAAATAGCACCCCAGATAAGTGCACAAAAGCAAGACACCCTCGTGGACCTACTACCTCCCGCTTCCAACACCCTGATGACTGAAGGTGAGGTCTCCTTCCTGTGTGTCTTAGAAGCCAAGAGCACATTAGGTTATTAGAGCCCTGCAGCAGCCTGAGTAACACATACCTACCTGTAGGTATTCCTGCCAGAC